GTGCCTGCTCCTTCACCATTTTGTGGAAGCCAGTTTTTGCATTTGTTTGATGTATATCGCTGTTGAAACGTGCAGACTTTTAAAAAGTCATAATTTAAAAAACCCTAGTATTTAGAGTCCGGTCAGAGCGGCTTCCTTTCCGTTAGAAACGCGACGTTTGTAGTTTGCTACCGTGCGCCTCAAACAGCTCCAGCTTCTCATTCTCCGTTCACGTGCACAGCGTGTATTTTCCCCACAGAGTCTGAGGTGAGGGCGCTGGCCAAAGAGAGGCAGAAGAAGGACAACCACAACCTGAGTAAGTCGGCTTCGTGTTTGTGACACTGGACAGTGGAGTTGATGTTCGCCCTCTATCAAAATTCTTCCAAAAATTTTAGAGGGAAATTGATTTCTGTGGAGTTAAAGGTACATTTTATGGAAGAAAATTGTTTTTTCAGAGAAACCAAGGTATATATTTCCCCCATATTTTATCTCAGGTCAAATTAGGTTTTTTATCTCAGATTGTGAAGACTGTTTTCCTTGTTTATAGTGCTGGTTGTGTGTGTGTGTGTGTGTGAGAGGGAGAGAGAGAGACTTGACCCCCAGTTACCCAATTATAAGTGTTCCTCACACGGGAACTATTAACATACAGGATCTTGGGATCACCTCCCCCAGTGAGATTTGAAAGAAAAATGTGAAACGCCTGGGGGGTGGTCAGGCAGTGTGTGAGCAGCCTTCCAAATTCCTGACTTTTCCTGTGCCTTAAAAATAATATTTAACATTTCAAATTATTTTTATGTGTTTAATTTACTCTTGATCAAATATTTAAGCTGTTCCTATAAAAACTTAAGATTTTTGTTTTACAAACAAGTAAAAGAGGCTGTTTGGTAAAAAACAAAGGATTGGGCTTGGAGGCAGGAAATGGGGTGTGTGTCAGTTTCTCATTTTGTGACCTCCTGTCCTCTCTCTCCTAAATTGATTTTAAAGAATATAAGTTACATATAAATACTCTGTCCTTATAAAAATGATGGAATAAGGTCAGAGTTCTCCTCTGATCATTGGGAAAATCTTTCCTTTTTTCAATGTGCTGTTGGTCTTTCCAGCCCCTTTCCGTGAACCTGAGAACACGCCACCTGCGCACAGAGTGAAGGCATCGCTGTGTGTGATGTAACACAAGTGGCATGTTGTCTACATTTGTCGCTGCTTGTTCTACTCAACAGCATATCCTGAAGACCCTTTGCTGTTAATAATCTAGATCTAGCTACTTTAAAAACTGTTGCATAAGTGTTCCAGTGTAGCCGCCTCCTGCTACGGGTTCCCAGTGTTTCCCCATTATAAACAATGCCACAGTGAACATCCGGGGGTGCCTCTTTGTGTTTGTTATGAAAGAGCCCATCCCCGGTGCTGGTGGACCCAAACCCTAAGTCCTGAGGACTGTAGGGAGGAAGCTAGGCTGTTTTATCATGAAGGTGCCACCCAGGAGAGCAGGCGACTCATGCTCAGAGCCCAGACTCCCTGGCGCTGTGGCCTGTACGCTACAGATTCTTTAAGACAAAATCACCAGGCGCTGTGGGTTAGGGCTTCGAGCTGTACTGGGAGCTGAGGGTGGATATGAGGGAAGGGCAGTCATCCTGAGGGGCTTTTCCAGAGCCCCTCTGTCTGGTCTCATGGGAAAGTAGCCAGGGGTGGTTCCACCTTAGGGTTCAGGGGCTGAAACGTAACCTAGGTCAAGATGTTGTCTCCATCCTGCCAGCAGTCCAGACCAGTGACCATTGGTCAGATCTGGGCTCCTGTCTGCTGCTGCCTCGGGGTTGCTGATTATCTGGGGGAAGGCTGGGTCGCTGAGGGGTTGAGAGAGAGATGATTTCTAGAGCTGGGATTAAAGCTAAATTGAATTAAAGACATAAGGATCCTCGGGCACATGCGCAGGGGGTGGTGTTTCTCTGGATCAGGGACTGAGAAATGGAGTTGCTGGTCCCAGAGGGGCAGTTTTTTAAAGTGGAAATTGCCCTTCTCAGTTCCCACCCCAGTCATAGAAGCTTTCCTCATCTCTTAACCAAAAGTTTTGAATTAATATTTCTAAGGTGTCCTCTAGCTTCCAAGTAATTTTACTTTTAGATATTTCTCCTTTTAAAATACCTTATAAATAAGATAATTGGGTATTATCCAAACCTTGTCAAGAACAATATTCACCTTTACTAAGGCACCTAATCTCTCAAGTTCATGGTTGTCAGTAAAGAGCAAACATGGTTAGCACAAATTCTGGGTGCTACAAAACAATCCTAAAATCTCATCTAACCATGAGAAATTAATACTCAAGGTTAGGTTGCTGTTGGCATAGGGCTGCCTTGCCTGGACATTTTATCGTGTAAGAACACTTGCCAAGATGTGCAAAAGAATGCACCCATTTCTCCACTCTAACTGCTGATTGAGCCCCCGTTATGTGTGAGGTACTCTCTACACACAGCTTTCCCACCCCTATGAGCTGCCATTCGAGTCAGGGGCAGACAGAACAGATGAACAACCAATACCTTAAGATGGTATTTTCAACATAGAGTAAGTGTTATGATAGGCATAAAATGTACATGTGAGCCCTGGCAAAAATATTTCTTTTTAAAATATATCTTTATTGATCTCAGAGAGAGGAAAGAAGAGGGAGAGAGAGAGATAGAAACATCAATGATGAGAGAGTCATTGATCGAGCCCGCAACCCGGGCTTGTGCCCTGACTGGGAATCGAACCCCGATCGCCTGGATCCTAGTCGATGCTCAACCACTGAGCCACACCCGGACGGGCAAAAATATTTCTTATACATTGAAAAAGAGGGAGAACTTGGAAACAGTCTAAATATCCATCAGTACAGAACTTTTAAGTAAATTAGGATGCCTCCATATAGGGATTCCCAGTGTCTCTTAAGAGGAATGGGGTAGGTTGGCCTCACCTGGCTCAGTCGGGGTTTACAATATACTGCTGAGTCACAAGGCAACGTGGTGTACGTTGTACATAGTGTCTCATTATGTACAAAGCGCACTGGCACCCAGGGCTTCTCATTAGTAAACTCGCACTGCAAACAAATTCTACCTGGTCAATAGTATGACATTTTGACTTTGGTCAATAAATAAATTGTAGGAATCTGTTTTATCTCCTACTGTGTGAGTACCTACATAATAGCCTCAATTTTTGCCCCTTAACCAGCAGAGCCAGAAATCTGCTGTGAGGCTCTTTGCAGAGAGTTTGCTCCCTGGTCTGCAGGGTCAGCGTGGAGCTCTGACTGATCCCAGTCCCCACTCCCTGCTGGTGGCCTCTCCCGTCCCTAATGTCTCCAAGGCAGTTTTCTTCTTTGTGACTGAGGATAGTAACTCCAATTTCAGGGTTGTCACAGGATCGAGTGAGAAACTGTGTATCTCAGGGCTTTGTTAATGATAAAAGGTAGCTCATTTTAAAAAGTATTTTAGCCTCAGTACTAAAACTATGGTAAAGACGGAAATGCAGGTTCCAGGCTCCATGGTCCTGCGCAGTGAAGTTAACACACGGATGTCTTTAATGAGGTTCGTTCATGCAGACGTGACCCTGTTACTAATAGTCCTCTCTCTCTCCTTGCAGTCGAACGAAGAAGAAGATTTAACATAAATGACCGCATTAAAGAGCTGGGCACTCTGATTCCCAAGTCCAATGACCCGTGAGTACAAGTGCATGTTCATCTGCATCGTATATTTTTGTACCTTAATGTTTCTTCATATGTTGCAAAAACGGTACCGTTATAAAACCCAGTGTAAAGAAGTCGCCCTTCCTTGGTTTCATCCTAAGTACTCCGTGCACCTTGCTTCTGTCCGTCTCATCAAACTAAGATGCTGAGAGCAGTGCACCAGATTGTGCAAATGGTGACTGGACGTGAGGCAGCTCTGGGTGTGAGGAGGTGGCTTTTTGAAATCAGAATCTTGGGCAAATAAACACTGAGCTGCTAAACAAAATCATTTTAGCATTTCCTACAGGACAGTGATTTCAGTACCTGCTAAAGCAAGAACATGCCCACTGGGCTTCAACTCCAACAGTGTCTGTAGGCACTGAACTCTGCCATTGCAGACTCCAAGTTTAGCAGTTCTGCTCAATTGTCTTAAAACGTTTGTGTTCTTTGTATATTTTCCTTTCTAGAAAAAAACAGTAATTTTTCTTCCTGTTCTGAGCATAGGTCAAGGGGATCTCAGCTCTCCATCTTTCTTCCCTTCTGCCGCTTTTGGAGAGAACGGTTGTAAAGATCCTTTCCTGCTGGCAACATCAGCAAATAGGACAGCAGACACACAATTTTTACCTATTAGACATCGGCCCATTGAAGTAAGGGCTGGAGGATGTGCACAGTTTAGTGGCTCCCACAGGCATTCAATGAAATTAGCCTGCGAATATGACCTTTTAGCTACCTAATAAAATGCGGAGATGAAATCAAGCATTACTCATGCAAGGCTTATTGAGTTTGCTATTCGGATGATTGTCAGGGTATTTGTGACAAAATAAAATAAAACCGTTGCCTGTCGTAAGGTGGGTGCTCAGGCAGTTTCCACCCTGCACCCTTTACTGCCCAGGTGCACCAAGGAGAGCCATTTTGAAACGCAGAGCACTCACGTTCTCAGTTCTGCGGCAGGAGTTCATCCCACCAAGGGGCTGTGACCTTCATTTCCTGCGGTCAGTCTTGCATGACTGTGGAAATCGAATTCCCATTTTCCTGTTCATTATCAGCTCTCACTTTTTAGCATACTCTTTTAAACTGGAATGTGAATCTCTTTACCAAAGTGTGAAATTATGGGGCTGGAGTGAAAGCCTTCATCTGCATCTTTTTTCCATTGTATCCCATTACTTCTGTTGACAGTCTGAGTTGGAATGATCTTTAATTGTAGGTGTTGTTTTAAGATAAAATGGACTGTGATCTGTTACAGGGTTCCCTGCACCAGGTTCCTGGCGCAGACTCAGGTGGGTGGCTGAGGAGACCCCAGCTGAGGTTTAAAAGCCCTTCTTTTAAGCCCAGAAGCAAAATTAATTGGAGGGTCTCAGAAGGAAGCAGGACCCCAGATAAAGGAAGTGGTCACTTCTTAAAAGCTGAGTGCTGTGTGCAGGTCTCAGTAACTGGCTTCCACCTTGCTGGCCTTGTTCAGGCATCTTCGTTACAGTTGTTTCTCTGGCTGCTAAAGTTCTATGTCTTTGATCTTAGCCCTGAATGTTAGCAAGTTGACTCAACCTCAGGACACCTCTGCCATCTTTGGTGCTCAGACCCCAGGGATCAACCCCCAGGAATTCTCAGAGAGCTGCTGCTCTGCCTCTTGTGGGAAAACTGCTGTTTTGTTCTTTGTCTAACCCGCCCGAGGCTCAGTTACTTGGAGGCTTGTGTTAATCGCCCTCCATTCACTCGGCCCACCTGATATTCTGATATTCTGACCTGCTTTGAGCAGCTATAGATTATGGCTTAGGAGGTTTTTCATACCTTAAATTGTTTTTGTTTTCATCACTATCATTGTCATTATCATCATGAATATTGTCTATAAAAGGGCTCAGATTAATTTAAAGTGCTATAGAAATGTTACTTGTGTAATTATAATTTCATTCTTAATCATTTTTCTGGAGTGCTCTAAATGGCGTTTTTAATTGTCTCATATATGAACACATTAGAGGAGCTGTAGTGATCAAAACCGGAGCAGTGGCGACCACAGGCTGCCTGGGTTTGAAGCCAAGACAGGCAGGCTACCTGTCTACCCCTGGGGAAGATGCTTGAGCCCTGGTGCTTCTTGCTTCTCACCTGTTAAAAGGGGGACGGTCAGAACACTCCTGCCTATCTGGTTGCTCTGAGGAAGACTAAGATGAAGCCTGGCGTGGGGGTTTCGAGAGTGGAGCCTGAAACAGGCAGTCAGGCCTCCTGGTCCTGCCCTTTCCCAGCTGTGTGACCTGGGCAAATCATGTGACCTTCCTAAGCCTGTCAAATGGGGATAATATTAGTACCTACCTATTAAATGAGCTGTAAAGTTCTTGAGAAAGCACCTGGCACATAGTAAATGCTATATAAAGATAGGCATATGATATAATTGTTATATCGAGCCCTGACAGTGTTTTCTCCATTATTGAAACTGCAGTCGAAGCTTCTCACAGCATTTTTATATAAAGTGCCTCCTTGGATTCTAATAACATACCTATGAGGCTCCTCCCACAAATATAATATCAACATTTTGTAGATGAAGAAATAGAGAGAAGTTAGATAACCTGTCTATGAAAACTCACGATAAAACTTAGGGGTGCCACTTTTATGCCTCACATAAGTAGTGAGATATCATGGAGTTTTTTATTACCACAGCTTATTCTCTGAGTTAATCCGTATAGCCCTAGAAAGCTATAACTATTTAATGCAATGTTAAGAATATTGACTTTGCAGTCAACTGACCTAAATTTCGGCCCCAACCCCGCCGTTAGGAGCTCTGTGCCCAGGGCCGGCTCTGTGCGGCGCCCTCCCTCTGGGTTGAGTGAGATGGCGAGTGGGAGGTGGTGGCCGGTGGGTGAGAGCTGTTGTCCACTGGTTACCACAGCTTAGAAACTGCTCTGTTGCACTCTCGTTGAGCTTCAAGTCACAGGGAGCCTGTCTCCTGCTTTCTCTCAGGGACATGCGCTGGAACAAGGGCACCATTTTGAAGGCGTCTGTGGACTACATCCGAAAGCTGCAGCGGGAGCAGCAGCGCGCCAAGGAGCTGGAGACGCGGCAGAAGAAGCTGGAGCACGCGAACCGGCACCTGCTGCTCAGGATCCAGGTACCGCGGGCTGGCAGGGCCCCGCCTCGGTGGGCGCAGGAGGCTACAGCGAGCCATCGGGGAGTTGCCTTACGGGATCCTCATTATTTGTGGATTCCCTATTTGAATTTGTCTACGCGTAGAAATTTATTTGTAGCCCAAGTCAACATTTGTGGCACTTTTGTGGTCATTCTCAGACATGTGTAGAGCCACAGACTTGAGTGGCCTGAGACTCATTTTCCACACGGGGGACACGGCAAGGCTCTGCCTTCTCCTCCCAGCTCCTCCTGCGACAGTGTCCTGTGCAGTCCGTTAGTGCCGTGGCTTTTACAGTTTAGTGGTTGGGGGTGATTTGCTGTTTACAGGGCCTCTAAGCATCGTGCTGAAGTGTTGGCCAGTGCTTCTGAGCTCCGAAGGCTGGGATGTGTCTTGTGGAGTTAAGGTCAGTTCAGACCTAAGCTGCAGTGCTGTTGGCTGAGTTCAGTGTTAACGAATCAACGTCGTATATCAGATAAACAGCAACACAGGAAATAGGCTCTGTGAGAAACCGTGCCAGAGGCTTGTGGGACCCTGACCCTGTGTCTCCCCTGAGGGACGGCTCGGCGTGCTATTCTGCATTCCCACTGGCTTTGTCCGTTTGTGCTGCTATGACAAAGCATCCACAGACTGGTGGCGCACACAGCAGACACTTATGGCTCGCAGTTCCACAGTCTGTGACATCTAAGAGTAAGGCGCCAGATGATTCAGAGGGTGATGACGGCTCGCTTCTTGGTTCAGAGACAGCCTTCTCCTTGCTGCATCCTACATGGGGGGGGGGCAGGGTGTTCCCGGGGGTATTTTTAATAAGGGCACTAATCCCTTCCATGAGGGCTCCACTCTCATTACCTGAGCCCCTCCCAAAGCTCAATCTCCAAATGCCATCATGTTGGAGAATTAAGTTTCAGCATGTGAATTTGGGGCATATACATTCAGATTGCAGCAGTGATGAATGCAAGTAATGAGAACTGACTGTAGTTAAAACAAAAATGCCTTAGTATGGGGAGGATGGAGTCTGTGGTCAAAGCTCATGTTGATGGGGAACTTGGGGACACCCAGAGGATTTTATCATTAAGATATAAATTTAAGAAATAGGACAGAGAGTGAAATTATACCATGTGTGTCTTTAACTTACACTATATATTCTTAGCAGGAGAAATACTAATTTTACTAATGTGTAGGATTCATTGTCATTTCATTTAGGGAGTGTGTATACCAGTGTAGCATGGGGTCCCTCTTTAGTATCAGCCCCGGTACTTCTCTCAGGCGCTCGACTTCTGCTGCTGAGAGTGAAGACACAGCTTCCTCTGAAACTGTCTTGGAAAAAGAAAGAAACACTGAGGCTGCTAATGACCGGAGTTTACGAGTATTTTTAATTTGCTGGCTGACTATGAACACTGCCCACCAGGAAGAATGACTGGCACTAGGCCGTCTTGAGTAGCTGAACCCAACTCTTGCCAGATTTTGCGTGAAGCAGTGGCTACGTTTCAGGTTTCCAAGGCAGCTACTATGGAGTGGCCATGCAAAGCCTGACACCTCAGGGGCCAGCTTGTTTCCCTCAGTGTGTGAATCCCAGACACAGACCAGATTTAGCTGAGTAGTTCATTGACAACAGTGGTCTCTATCTTTTCAATGCCCACACCACAGTGGATACTTCTGGATGTCACAGCTCTCACTCAGTGCAGGGATCCTCAGCCCCGGGGCAGGGAGGCGAAGACAGCTGTCCTCTGGGGGGCATATTTTAGAACCTCAGTGGGAAGGAGAGGTCAGCTGTCACTTAAAATTCTCCTTCCCCCCTTCTTTTCATTTGGCTTTTACTGTTTGTTCCATGCCCCGTTCTCTGGTCTATAACCATCGGTCTTTGATCTGTGGAACTTAGTATACCAGTTTATAGAAGCAGCTTGTACGAATGTGTTATTTCCTCAAATATTAAAATAGAATAATTGTTTTAAAAGAGAGGCTAGATTTTAAAGTTGCAAATATGTCTATTTGTGTGAAATACAAATACTGTAATGTGAACTGGAAAGTCCGCGGTGACCGTGTCTTAGGTTTCCTTCAGTGACAGTGGGAGGCAGCCCCTGGAACTTTTCATGTTACAGGAACATGACCGATCAGGACCGCTCTGCTGCATCCTGAGCCAAGCTCTCTAGACGAGATGCTTCGCATTGTTTAGAAATCTGAGTAATGCTTTAGTCAGCTGATAAATGTTAATTAAATAACAGTAGATAGACTAAGATGTTTGCCTCTCTTCATCCAACTTTATTCCTCTTTTTGAAAAGACAAACTATTTGTGTGGGTGCTATTCTTACCAGCACGTTGGTGTGGATTTACGAGAGCAGATGCTCTCAGCTTGGACCTGAGGGCTTCCTTTCATTTTCATTCTAAGTGACGCATGCAAAAGTTTTCACCAGAGAAGGCTCATGAGGCCTGAGCATCATTGGAGCTACCATTTCATCACACAACCCAGGGCTTTGCAGTGATGCTGAGAGCCTTGTGTTTCCAGAGGTTGTGTGAAGGAACATGTAGAGTCTTCAGTGGCATCTCAGGCACCATCTCTTACTTGTATTGCACCCAGAGACCTTGCAGGTCAAACAGCCTTTAACACAGACTAAACGTGACTCCTCCAGAACATAGATCTTTAGCTTGTGGGCCAAGGTTGAGGCATATAGTGCTGGAGAGCAGCTCTCCCTCTCTGATGGGCCCCAGTGATGGCTTCAACTTTATATCCTGTTGTTGTTATATCACAAACAGAAAGGAGGCACTGGCATGGGGAAGTAGGATGCTCACTGTTGGGGTCTCTGGGGTTCATTTGGGAGGGTCCAGGGGTACTCAGGAAGGAAGAGGGAAAGCCCTTGCTGCGAGGACATGTTGAAATGAGGTCCTGGAGTCTCTGACACAGGGTTCAGTTAGGCAGCTCAGGCCGCCCCAACAAACAGCACAGATGGACGGGGCAGTGCAGACAGCAGCCAGTGATTTCTCAGTTCTCGGAAGGCTGGAAATCCTCCACCCGTGTCGCAGGGCTGGCTCCTCCTGAAACCGCTCTGCTGGGCTGGCAAATGCCGCTTCTCCGCGTCTCCAGGAGGTGTTCCCTCGGCGCACCTGAGGCCTGGCCTCCTCTTCCTGACAGGCCGCCAGGGCTGTTGCAGGTTGGGTCAGAGCCCATCCTAACGACCTCATCTTAACTTAATTACCTCTCTAAAGACACTGTTTCCAAATAAAGCCACATTCTGGGATCCTGCCGGTTAGGATTTCAACACAGGAAATGTGAAGAAAGTGTAGGAGGAGGGTATTATTCAGATAAGAACTCTTCTCTGGGATTAAAAACTGTTCCATTTCTCCTGGTGAGATGGCCTAAGTGATGCTTCCCAACTTCAGATCCCTGTGTGGAACCTTCCTGAGGTTTGCCGTTACTGCCCGGACTTTCTCAGTTCATGCTGCCCTCCTTTCCCACTGACCATGCACCGGCCGAAATACCTGCCATTTCTGCTGGGTCCTAACAATTTAGTAGGCATTTGAAAACTCAGATGTGTAAATGAAGAAAAATAGCATTTGTATATTATTTTTAAATGGCCACATTTCTCACTGCTGGGACGCGTGTGCCCGCGTGCTGGACCGGAGGCCGCCGCCTCGGGTTCCCCTGCACAGCGCCTTTGTGCGCACAGTGCGCATGCCCCTGGAGCAGCCCCAGCCCCGCCGGCCAGGCGGAGAGGAGAGAGCCTGGAGCGCAGTGCAGCCCCTGGACTCCGCCCAGCAGTATCACTGTTTCCCTGCTGGTTTCCTTGCAGCACCGCTGATACCTGGGTGTACAGTTTAGGGGCCACGGAACAATATTATTTACTGAATATTTTCCTTTGGTCAGCTTACATTTTGAAGTTTTATTTTGATACGTTTTAGCTTGTCCTCATTGTGAACATGAGTGTGTGTGAGAGACAGTCTCTGTATTTAATGCCGAATAAGCCCACTGCCCCCGAGAAGCATTTCACTGACTGCCAGCGGTGTTCACACTACTCTAAACAGCACGGCATTTATTCATTTAAAAGAGCCAAATATTTTAATATTGATTGTTTTCTCTCTAAGTGTTTGACTTTTTTAAATACTTTATTTTTTGCAACAATTTCAGGTTTACAGCAAAATTGAGCAGAAGGTGCAGAGTTTCCCCCCACACACAGCCTCCCCATAATCCACATCCCCAGCCAAGGTTGTGCATTGTTGTTATTGGTGAACCTGCATCAATACGTCATCAACATCGAAAGCCCCTTCACTTCCATTAGGGTCCCCTCGTGGGGTTGGACATCTGTGAGCTTAGACAAATGCGTGATGGCGTGGACCCATCATTATAATATCACACACAGTAATCTCCTGCCCTGAAACCCTCTGTGCTCCATCTGCTTCAGTGTCTGATTTTCACTTTTCTTTCAGGAACTTGAAATGCAGGCTCGAGCTCATGGACTCTCCCTTATTCCATCCACGGGCCTCTGCTCTGCAGATTTGGTGACTCGGATCATCAAGCAAGAACCGTCCCTGGAGAACTGCAGCCAGGACATCCTCCAGCATCACCCAGACCTAACTTGTACAACCACCCTCGATCTCACAGATGGCACCATCAGCTTCAACAGCAGCCTCGGGCCCGGGGCCGAGAGCAGCCACGCCTACAGCGCCCCCTCGAAAATGGGCTCTAAGCTGGAAGACATCCTGATGGACGATACCCTCTCTCCTTCCGGCGTGACTGACCCGCTCCTCTCGTCAGTGTCCCCGGGAGCTTCCAAAGCCAGCAGCCGGAGGAGCAGCATGAGCATGGAGGAGCCCGAGCACGCCTGCTAGCTGGCCTTCCTGCTCTGCGCCTTTCTTGATCAGTAGATTTAATAATTGACCTGAAGGGGTTTTCTTGATAATTTTCCTTGAATATGAATTTTTTCCATGCTTTATCAATAGCCCAGGATATATTTTATTTTTAGAATTTTGTGAACGGACTTGTATATTCTATTTTGCAACTACAAATGCCTCCAGAGTATTGTACAATAGCGCCCAGGATCTGTGAACCGAACGCACCCAACGTCAGCTTCCTGAGCAAGAGGACTTTGCATCAGAGAAATTTCTGTCCATTCTTTTCAGGGGAAACAGGTTGGAAATTTTTATGCATGTGACTTCCTTGGAAATTAAATGTAAAGGTTAATTGAAAGAATGTAAAGCAGCCAAAAAATAAATAACAAGACAGACAGACAGAAAGAGGAAGGAAAAGAAAAAACTCACACTAACCTTTTCATTTTGTAAATGTGTTCATCGGTACTGCCTTAAAGATCCAGTACCCTCCAGCATCAGTCTTTATACTGCAAACTATTTAAAGAAATACTATATTCCACAAAAGAGAAAAATGCAACCATTTTCATGAGGATTGTCTGGTGAGAGAAATAGCTGATATGTTACCACTGCAACCACAGGGAGACAGACCAGGGCCCTGAAGCACGAGGTCTGGTCTCACTCTCTGCTTCACAATTTTCCTCATCAATGAGTGTGATTTAATTTTTCTTAAGATATATTTTATTTTGAAATGAAAATTAATGTCCTCTCAGTAAAATATTGAGGAGCACTGAATGTTTTACTTTTTTTCTTTGATTTTGCTTTTGATACGAAAAACAAACTGGGCACATTTCTAATTGGCTTTACTGTTTTTATTTTTAAATTATGTTTTACTATTCATTTGAGTTGTACAGATTCTTTATTATCATCGCTCTTTTCAGTATGTTTGTATTAATTTGTAAGAATATGCATCTTAAAAAGGCAAGTTTTCAGTATTTTTACAACTCACTGGTGGTTTTCTGCATTATTTGTACACATGAAAGAAAACTTACGTGAGGTCCCATGTTTAAAGAGAGCTTTGCGAATGTTTTGTATATTACAGTCTCACTCAGAGCTGTTCTTCCACACATTTAAGGGGTAGGATTAATAGGTAAAACTGGCCTTCTAGGGAGAATAAACTTACATATTTATTTTTAGTGATATAAAAATAGCAATATTCTTGGAGACTGGTAACCAAACCATAGCGTTAATACGCCCATTATGGTCATTTAAACTGAGGTTTATTTCAGCAAACTCGCTGAATTTTTTTAAAGAGAAATACTGTATTGGCAAATTCGTGGTACTTGCCGACAGCGTTTGCCAAGCAGCGGAGCTGTACAGTTAGTTCCAGCATCACCTGCTCGCGTAGTCTATGCAATGCCCGCAGCGTCCCGCCCCTGCCCGCCGGGTGTTGCGCGGGACGCGTGGCGGGGGCCGGCTGCTCAGTGCGTTTCTCAGCAGCAGCCTGCAGTTGAACAGCAAGTGGCGTCAACACCCCTTCGGAATGAAGTGCCTTAGTCGAGCAGCAGTCTTTCCTGGACCAGCACTGACTGAACTGCACTGTGGAGAAAGCTTCCCGGTGGTGTCTGAGGTCGAGAGGAACATGCAGCATGGTGCCTACGTAGACAATATAAGAGCTTCCACTTCTCCAGATATTTTTAATATGAAATATATTTTAGTGACAGAGTGCCAACTTCTTTCATCAGGAAACCTTATTCAGGAGGGTTTTTTAAAAAATGAAAATGAGCTTAAATGTCAAATATGAATTGGTGGTGGGTGTTGGGGGTTCGGAGAGGAGTGATTGTCCAGTGTGCGAATGGATGGCTTACGTGAAAATAATTCACTGCCTAGTGCCCGTGCGCTGCGCAGTGAGAATCCTTGGAAATTTGATGATGCTATCCGCTTTATAGCTTTATTACTTAAGGGGGTAGGGAAAATTACTTCCCATTCTTTCAGCCCCTTAATTGTACAGGTAGCCCTTCTAGAATAGAGACGCCGACGTGCATGAGCGGCCCGTTGTCCCATAGTGCTCACTGGTACAATCATAGCCTCGTCCAGTTTTCTCTTCGTATCTGGGGGGGAGGGGACCTGTGTGCAAAAGTTGAAGATTATGATGCTATGATGCTAGTTTTCTTTAGCTGATTTGGAGGTTCTTAAAAATAGAGCAAGGTTGACTAACCCAAGCCCAGGGGATCTGGCCAGGGCTGAGCGAGCGTGCAGAGCGCTTTGCTGAGAGAGCCTGGCATCTCCGCCACGCCCTGGGCCGCGCAGCTCCTGCGCTCACCAGCGCCTGCTTCCCCAGCCGCTTCGTAGACAATTTCTGGGAGTGGCAGGTGAGTAAGCCCAGGAGAATGCTGCAACTGGGGGTGGCTTTATTTATTTCTTTTTTGCCAAATAGAGTGTGGATTTGTTTTAGGGACTAGTTAAGCCAAGAGGCGGTGGTTTGGGCTTGCCTTTTGTGATGAGAAAATGATCCACACCACGCCCCGTCACTGGGTGCAGAATTGTGACTTGGGGTTGGGCCTCCGTCTGGAGTGACTAAAATGCCAGACTTGTCCACCTGCCTCTGGGTAAGGTAATGGAAATACCAAACCTTCTGACTTTGCCAAAAACCATACAACCAACCTGGTCATACACAGGATGACAGTTCTTTCTGGTTGTTTTTAAAAACATAAAGCAATAAGAACAAATAAAATACATAGGAAGTTAAAAGATACAAAATAAAGCACAAAGGAATGCACTTATTCATATTTTTTAAAATGCACTGGGAAAAGTTGACGTTGATAACAGTGTATTTAAAAACCCTATTTCTTGAAAAAAAAAAGACAAAAAGACAAATAACTGTCTCTTCCGGACACTTGGTGACTGTCTCTTCGGGACACTTGGTGACTGTCTTGCGGACTCTGGTACTGTAATGTAGTCATCTGCTGTTGGACGCAGCAATACCTTCTACCTTCTGTATGGTCCATAGTGCTGTATGTGATGGATCAATGTCAATGTATCTAATGACATCTTTGAACTGCTGTTCCGACAGCTTCATTAAAGCATTGGGTTTTTCACATGTGCTGGCCGGTTGTGTTTAGTTAATGCCGATTTTGAATATTGTTGCCTTATCAAAAAATGGTAGTACACACTCTCTTCCGATTTAACGAATTACAAATTACATGAAAAACCTTGTAAATGCCAGTGAGTACTTTTTTTGTTTTAAATGCCATTCTAAGGTATTACTTTTTGGGTTAAACATTGATTACTTTACGACTTGCACTCAGATGAACTATAATTGTGCAGCTTTTTTTTCCCCTCTGAATCAAGGGAGATTTCAAATTCCCGAATGCCAAGAATTCATTTTAGATATAGGAATGTTATTTTAAATGTTTTAGTGAGAAATGGTTTTCCAAAAGGGAAATTATCAGAGGAACCCTTGCATATTTACAAAAAAAAAGATACTGGGTTTTTAATACAAATTTATAATAGTGAAAGCTTAGTATACCCAGGTTGCCAGCTCCTGCCTTTTTTTAAATACAGCACTTAAGATCATTTGACAACTTCTGGGTTTGACTTGGGAAGTGTCAGACAAAACATGTCTTTATTCCCTAGCTAGACCTTAAACTTCTGCCCTCTTAAAAAATATTCTGGTTGAATCTCTGGAGTAAATGAGCAAAAGACTTCCTATAATGCTTCTGATTGTCAGTTTTTTCGTAAATTTGATTTTTTTTCTTAAATTGTAATATACAATAATCGAGCCCTTTCTTTTCAGAGTCATTTGAATTATTTATATTTCCCATAAATGTGATTATGTGATGTCTTAAAAATGTGTAAAAGTAATAAATTTTCTGTCTGCACAAGAGAATTTTCTAGGGAGCATTGAAAGCAGGTGAGTTGGAAGTTGGAGGGGTTTATCTTGAAAGGTCAGCAACAGGACCGTAACCCAGATTTCTGACCTCTCATTTGCCTATTAACGTTCATTTCACATTCTACAAAGATCCTTAATCACTAGCTTCCCCTTACACCCCCCCCCC